CAATCGGGCACCATCCAGTTTTTGAAGCCGAAACGATCTCATGAGGGCTATTATCAGTGTTTCGTGTCAAACATTTTTGGCACAGCTGTCTCGAACAAAGTACATTTACGACTTGGAGGTTTGTTTATTCCTCAGAATGCTTCACTTTTCAATTTATCGGTTCGGTAACGAGAACAGATAACGAGTTGAGAGGAGAATAGCCAGTGTAATAAAACCAGCCAAGAGGCTGAGCTACAAATATTCGGATTTTAAGGAACCTTGCTAAGAGATTGCAGTGGGCCCAATTTGCTTGAATTTGGCGTAAGAGAGCTGTAATTTGAGCGCCAAATTGGGATAGGAACTGGGGTTCGATAACAGTCGTTAGACATTCTTCTTCGTATCTTTTGATAAGCTAGCGGAGAAAGGGCAAAACTTGCAGCACGAACAATTATTCTCGGATGCGCCACGCATTTTCGTTCTACCACCATTCAGAATGGTAATGTTACCCGAAGTGTGATTTTGCCCCCTCCCCCCTTGCGAGCAGAATCAATGCATGGCAGCGTTTTTATTTTCTTAGACAAGTCTCGTACCAGGTGGACAAAGATGATGTGGTGGCTAAAAGTATGAGACCCTATTCAGGAACGGACCCAGTCTTGTAGCGGGTATACAGGGGAGGGAGAAAAAAGTCACTTCGCTCATGGCTTACATCTCATGGCATTGTAATCGCTAATTGTAATCTGCACAATTTCTTCAATCGGGTAGTGGTGGATAGTTCGCAAAAGACTGTACCCCCGACCGCTAAACCACTTCCTACCAGCTTCTCAGATATCACCTCAATGGTCTGGTATCCAGTGAGGACCTCGTCGAGCTCCAACTGAAACCTCTCGTTAAAAACTCTTCTGAAATCCTCGATGTAGAAGGCTGCTGTGAAGTTTCTTGATAAAATGAAAAGCTCGATTTTCATTTGAAAGCAATTGGTTTGGTTTCAGCAAAGTGAAATTAATTCTGTTTTGAAGTAGAGAGAGTGGCTGTTCTTGCCCCCCACCCATGTACAGGGGTGGCCAAAAAAAAAAGAGACACTTTGCCCATGGCATACATCACCAAACTTTTCTTTCCCCAGGGTGCCGCTGTTGATGGGAGTTTTACGGCATAATATTCCTTAGATGTCCCTCCATAAGCAGAAGCAGGTCCTCCTTCATTGCCCTCACCGTCTCCAGAATATGACGTAGACTGCCGTCGCCGTCGAGCTCAAGGATGTCTTCCGTAATCAAGCTATCCTTAAACAGCCACAAAATTAATTCAATCGATTAGCTGATGGATGTCTTCCTATAATCAGTGCCTACAACTATGCAAGACCCCTTCCGGCCAGCGCTTTCGAAAACTTCATAATGGTCCACGAACCATGGAGAACCACGTTGAGCTTGGACCGTGCCCAAGGTTTTCATGGTAAATTCTTCTGATGTCGTGGGTGTAGAAGGCTATCACGAAGTTTGCTGATAGATTGGGATGTATTCTTCAATCTCCAATTGGGGGCATTCGGTTTGAGTTCAGCAAAGTGTTATTAGTGCCGCTCCGAGCGAGAAGTGGAGTGTCTCTTTTTTTTTGGCCACCCCTGTAGACGTGGAATCATAATCAACCGCACCTAGGAGCAAACTCGATATTGATTTTTTCGAGGCCATCGCCGCGTGCGCTACTGATACTATAAATGGCAGTAGAACACATGACGATTACCTAAGAAGAAGGCAATACCGTATGTTGCTTTCCAATGCTACTGATGATGTGATGCCACATCCATGTCGCAAAGCGTGTATTCAAAGACAC